GCTGCCTCCTGCTCCGCCACCTTCTTCTCTCCTCTCTGGGCACAGCAAAGGAGGGTTCCACTGCACTCATGCACCTCCCTGTCTCTCTTCTCCAGCTGAACATCCTGGTGGACACAGGGAGCAGTAACTTTGCTGTGGGAGCTGCGCCACACCCCTTCCTCCGGAGATACTACCAGCGGCAGCTGTGAGTATGTGGGGGGACACAGAGCAGAGCCACTGTCCCAGCCCCACAGTGGCACGCTGCCCCTTCTTGCTGGGGTCTGGCCAGACCCTGCCAAGTAGAAGAGCTGGATCCACACGACCCCTTCCAGTCTTACTCATCCCTTTGATGCCTTTGCAGGTCCAGCACCTACCGTGACCTGCGGAAGGGGGTGTATGTGCCCTACACCCAGGGCAAGTGGGAAGGGGAACTGGGCACTGACCTGGTCACCATCCCCCATGGCCCCAACGTCACCGTCAGAGCCAACATTGCCGCCATCACAGAGTCAGACAAATTCTTCATCAATGGCTCCAACTGGGAAGGGATCCTGGGGCTGGCGTATGCTGAGATTGCCCGGGTGAGTCCTGGCTGGCAGCAGCCTGGCCCTGCCAGCAGATGTGAGCACGAGCAGGCTTCAGTTGCCTCTTGCCTTGGCTCTGTTTGTCCCCTGGGGCACAGCAGTCCCAGCGAGGGGAGCTCCCCTGGGCACGGAGAGCCCCTGGAGAAGGGACAGCACTGATGCATCCCTGCCCTGCCTCTTTTCTCCTCCCACCAGCCTGACGACAGCCTGGAGCCCTTCTTTGACTCCCTGGTGAAGCAGACTCGGGTGCCCAACATCTTCTCCCTGCAGCTGTGTGGGACGGGCTTCTCGCCCAACGAGACAGAGGCCGTGGCCTCGGTGGGAGGCAGCATGGTGAGGGCTCTGCAGGCAGGGGGAGGCTGCCAGGGGCTCCCACGGGGCTCTGGTGGAGCGTGGTGGCAGCACCTTTGTGTCCCCGCTGCAGATCATCGGCGGCATCGACCGCTCGCTGTACGTGGGGGACATCTGGTACACCCCCATCCGCAAGGAGTGGTACTACGAGGTCATCATTGTCAAGCTGGAGGTCAACGGGCAGGACCTGAACATGGACTGCAAAGAGGTGAGGGGGCACCAGGGCACCTGCCCCCCGGGCTCAGCTGGGCCACAGCGCTGCAGGCACCTGCTGCTGGTTGGAGGGGCCGGGAGGGGAGCAGGGCTGGGGTCCTGCACCTGGGTCACCCCTCCTCTTCTGCCCCCAGTACAACTACGACAAGAGCATCGTGGACAGCGGGACCACCAACCTCAGGCTGCCAAAGAAGGTGTTTGAGGCTGCGGTGAAATCCATCAAAACAGCATCTTCGGTCAGTGAAACCCATCACTTCCCCACGGGCACATCCCCAGGGCTGGGGGCAGCAGAGCTGCCCCTCACCAGTCCTGGCATCTCTGCTGCCTGCCCACCTTGGCTCCGCTCACCTCCCTTTCCCTCTGGCAGACGGAGAAGTTCCCGGACGGCTTCTGGCTGGGGGAGCAGCTGGTTTGCTGGCAGGTCGGCACCACCCCCTGGCACATCTTCCCGGTCCTGTCCCTCTACCTGATGGGGGAGGCCACCAACCAGTCCTTCCGGATCACCATCCTGCCCCAGGTGAGCGCTGGCCCAGCCAGAGTGGGCTGGAGTGGCAGGACCAGCAGGACCACACTGGGTGGGCACAGCTGCCTCCCTGCCCCCTTTCCTGACGGCACCTCTCTCCCTGCAGCAATACCTGCGCCCAGTGGAGGACGTGGCCACTTCTCAGGACGACTGCTACAAGTTTGCCATCTCCCAGTCCTCCACTGGCACCGTCATGGGCGCCGTGATCATGGAGGGCTTCTACGTGGTCTTCGACCGTGCCCGCAAGCGCATCGGCTTCGCTGTCAGCGCCTGCCACGGTGAGCACTGGGCCTGGAGGGAGGGAGAGAAAGGCAGAGGGGCCGTGGGAGTGCAGTGGCCAGAGCCCTGCCTTCCCCCAACAGTGCACGACGAGTTCCGGACAGCCGCGGTGGACGGGCCCCACCTGCACTCCAACATGGAGGACTGCGGCTACAACATCCCGCAGACGGACGAGTCCACCCTGATGACCATCGCCTACGTCATGGCAGCCATCTGCGCCCTCTTCATGCTGCCCCTCTGCCTCATGGTGTTCCAGTGGCGCTGCTTCCGCTGCCTGCGCCGGGACCACGACGACTTCGCTGACGACATATCCCTGCTGAAGTGAGGGCGGAGCGCGGGGCCGCAGGTGAGGGGCCTGGTCCGGGGGCAGGACAGCAGCGTGGGGAGCTCAGCCCCTCTGCCCAGGACTCGGGGACTCGGTGTGTGCCAGGGCCAGCAGCCGGGAGCAGCTGTGGGAGCCCCAGGTCCGGGCTCTGTTCATCTGGGACCTACAGCAGGAGCGTGGCAGAGGGGGAGAGTGCAGCAACCCTGTCCTGGGGGCTGGGGGCAGGCTGTCCTGAGCTCTCCTGCCTGTCCCTGCCTGGCTTGACGGAGTGACGCTAATGAGCCATCCCCTGCCTGTCCCCTTCCAGCCCTGTGCATCCCTTCTCTGCTCACCCCACCGGGAAGCCGCTGGCCCAGGCTCTCTGTGCAGGGAGCTGCACGCACGTGCCCTGTGGCCGTGCCTTCCCCGTGGCTCCCTGCACTGAGCTGGGCTCTGGGGATCATCCCAGAGCCTCCCCAGAGGGCCAGCCTGGGGCTGCCCGGACACTTCTTTCCCTCCCACCCTCCTGCTCCCCCATACATGGCTCACCCCTGTACACTGCTCACTCTGGCATTTCCCTGCCCTCCCAAACTGTCCCCCACTGCTGCCAGCCCCAGGACTCCCTGTGCCCACCCTGCCCTCCCAACACAGGCAGGAGCAGCCACTCATCCTCTCCCGGGACTGGCAGGAGCAGGCACCCACCCTCTCCCCACTCCCCATGGGATGGGCAACTCCCTGCCCTCCCTTCCAGCATCAGCAGTGGCTGCCACGGAGGAGCCGGTGCCAGAAGAGACCCAAGTTCCCGGCACTGGCTGCTCCCCAGCCCACCCACCCCTTCAAAAGCCATAGGGGAGCCTGGGCCCCCCCTGCAGCCCCCCCGGCCTCACCTCCAGCACGTCCCACGGCGCGGGGGCTCCTCTCTGCTCACTCCACGTGTCCAGGCCCCGGCTGTGGGACACCCTGGCAGCCTGGGGACAGGCAGCAGCTGTGGGGACTGCAGCATTTGTTATTTTTTAAACACATGGTTGTATTTATTTCATTTTTTTTTTACAAAGCGAGTCACTGGTAGCGCAGTCGGAGCGTGTACATAGCAGGTCCCACCCGCACGGGTGTGCAGACAACAGCCACCTCTCACCTGTACAATATACCCATATATCTCTATTTTTAATTCTAGCCCTGAAAGCCACTGTTCCAAACCCAACATTAGGGGTCGGTCCTGTTTTGTTTTGGGGTTTTTTTTTTAATCATTTTAGCCCTCTGCTCAGTCCTTGGGCCATGACCACCACCCATGGCACCGCAGTGATGTGCTCGGTGGGAGCACATGATGGTGAGGGGGTCCCAGCTGGTTTGAGGAGGAGGTGCAGGAGGAAGGCAGGGCTGGAGCCCACAGGGCAGTGGCTCACAAGCCGAAAGGACACTGAGCACTTTTGTCCTCGTGGTGTTCCTGCAGCACAGGGAGGATTTTCTGGTGTGTGAGGACAACCTTCCCCTCCTCCCTGTGCTGCAGGATCACTGTCCCTTCCCCAGGGCAGACACCCGTGACCTTGCAGCAGTGGTAGTGCTGTATTCCCTTGCTTCTCTGCCTCCAACCTGGATAGGAAAGTGCTTAAACTCCAAGATTCCACAATTAAAAGGCATTGCAAAGAGGGCCTACCTGCAGTGCCAGGGCCGAGCTGGCACCTGCCCCACGGAGCCACGTGCAGGAGCGGAGCGACCAGGTCAGGTGGGGACAGGCTGAGGGACCGCAGCAATCACCAAGTGTAAAGCTTGTTAACTAAATCCTGCAGATAAACATTTCTTTGGAAAAGCAGCGAGGGAGCCAGGAAACACATGCAGTGTAGGAGGAAGCCAGCCCTCGCACGGGCACCGCCACAACAGCCCCCACACTGTCCCACCTCACTCCCAGTGCGCTCACACAGCACCCACCCCCACCCCCATCCCTGCTCCAAAACTGCATCCAGCCACTCCATGCAAGAGGGCAGCGTTCTCTCCCCCACCCTCGTGCCTGCCCAGGACCCCAGAGACTCTGTTGTGGACCACTGCCTTAAAACACGCTGCCAGCGTGTGCGTGCGCGGAGAAGGATCTGCGGCCGAGCTCAGGTGCTGCACCGGGGGGGCTTCCCTGCCCACCCCGAGGCAGAGGGGCCTCCAGCAGTGCTGAATTCCTGCTGCAGACTGCAAAGTAGGGGAGGAAAAAAATTTTTAGAGAGTCAGTGCAAGATTTTCCCACCAAAATCCATGGAGAAAGGGTTGGTGCCTCAGCCCGTGCTTTAGGAGAAAGTACAGGACAGGGGAAAGCAGGAATTGTGACAGGTTGGTTTATCCTGAGCTGCAGCGCAGCCGTGTCCGTCTGCTCCCTCCCCAGGGCCCGGTGACAGCAGGGGATGGGACAGGATGGGACCAGGGGCTGTCGCTGGAGGCTCCAGTACTCTGTAACCCAGTGTCTATGTAAGAACAATGAATGTTAACACGGTAAATTATTATGACATTAAAAAAAGACCACCAAAAAAAATCCTCTTTATCTGCAACCTTTTCATTACCAAGAGGGGGGGATAAAACAGGTGACGACCGGCAGGGGACCAGGACACTGAGGAATGGGGTGGTGAGGCATCTGGTCATGGGGGATGGCCCTGGAAAAGGAGCTGCTGGGATCCACATGGGAAAAGGTGGCTGCAGGAGCCATGAGTGTGCCTCCAAGCAGGTGACACTAACCCTCCTTTGGAAGAAGCCAGTGAGGCTGCAGACTTAAGAAATGAGGAGGAGCAGCAAATCACTGCATAATATACACACTTTATTTATGAATTTGTATGTATACAGACTTTCTATACACACATTACCTATATAATAAAAATGTACATGTGTATACATGATCGTATAAATATAGAACTGTAGAAATCTTAGAACTGATCCTGTCTATTCACAGCAACTCCTCCTGTGGGCCCACGTTGTTCCAGCAGCCGTCATTTGAGGCTTGGGCAAAAGGGGCAAGTGTCATTCGTGTTGGTTTGTGCCCAGAATTTGATGCACTGGAAAAGAGAAGAGTTAGTCAAGAGCTACTGGCACAACCCAGAGGTGTCATTGTCCCCAGCAGTGCTGCCAGAACACTCATTTTCAGGGTCCTTTGCTCCTTGCAGCCTCCCTCAGTAGGTAACCATGAGGAGGGAGCCCTCCTCCTCTTCCCAAGAGCTCCTGTCCAGCCGCCCCTGCCCAGACACCTGGGCAGCAGTGGCAGCTCTCCCCCCTCACCCTCTGTTCTAGATCCTTCCAGGCTGTCCTGCTCCAGGGTCTAACCCTCACAGCAACAAGAACAGGCTCGGGGACAGGAACAAGGGCAGCCTGTTCTTAAAGCCACCACCCAGTGGCCACGCTTAAGAGTACGGAAAGGATGGGATGACAGGATGCAAGGAATTGTTTATTGATCGTCCCCTTCTGGCAAGGTGCCAGCACCACAGGGACTCGGGAAGGGAATCAGCACTTGGAAGGATGAGGAAGCCCCAAGCAGCAGGGGACACTCACCTCCTTGTGCAGCACGTGCGAGCAGGCCATGGGGTGAAGGTCACCGGGCTGCACGAGCTTCTGGCACATCAGACACAGCTTACAGGCAGATGGGGTCTGGGACAGGCAGTGAGGGAACAGAAAGGAGCAGGGAAGTCAGACACCCAGCTCTGATCACATATTCAGCTGCAGCCTGAAGCCACAGGCTGCCCAGTCCCTCCCTAGGCCACCACACGCTGTGAGAGCCACTGACACATCTCGTCACCATTCCCCTCTTCCCCAACGCGAAGCACAATGGATCTGTGCTCCAGAGAGCTCCCAGCTCCATGGGCTCATCCTTTCAGCCACCTCCCAGCCAGGCTCCCTCCCTCTCCTTTAGGCCAGGGAATCCAAACAGCCTTACGTGTGACGCCGTTCCAGGGTAGGCGACCTGGGCCGGGGGCAGGAACACGGGGGTGCTGATCTGAGGCAGCGGAGCAGAGAACATGGGGGCCCTGATCCGGCTGAGGGGCTGCAGCAGGACAAAGGAGGCATATCACAACAGCCCAGGAGGAAAGGGCAGACGAGTCACCCCGAGCCACCCCAGGGAAAACCGCTCCCTGCTTACGCCGCCGTCAGCAGCAAGGGGAGCCCGGGGGACAGCCCTGACGCACAGCCCGAGCTCTGTGGGGATCCAGGCAGCAGGCGCAGCTCTCCCTGCTCCCCAGGGTCCCCCCCTCCAGCAGCCCCCACGCTGTCCCACCTGCGCCCCGGCCGCTGCCTGCTCCTGCTGCTCCGCCAGCTTGGCCGCTACCAGCTGGTTCAGCTGCTCCATGGTCAGCCCGGCCATGGTCTTCCGAGCTGTCTTGATCTGCTGCAGGATGTTGGTGAGCTGGGCCCTGTGTGGAAAGCAGCCTGCTAAGAGCTCCCAGTCCCCACAGACAGGGACCCTCAGTGAGGAGCCACCCCTGCCCCAGGGGAAGCCATGTCGCTGCAGAGGAGTGTGTGCTCTAAATGTCTACCTTTCCAAGTGAGGTGAATCACATGCTGAGGAGCTTCTCTCCCCAAAATGCTGGGAAAAGAGCAGGGAATGCCCAGGGACAGGAGGGGGGCTCCTAGCTGTGCCCAGGCATCCCTGCTGTCCTTCAAAGCTCCAGGAGGTTCTCATTCCCAGCACTGTGGCAAATCTGATGGAGACCACCAGCCTTTGCTCCACACCTTCAGCCTTCCTTCACTTCACCCAGGTCCCACACGTGCCAGGAGGAGCCCTCCTTCCCCCGATGCCAGCTCCCATCTCACACACACATCTTCCTTGCTCTCGGGAAGAACAAGGCCAGACACTTACTTGTTGCACTGTGGAAACCGAGTCAACAACTTCTCCAGCAGCTTTTCCAGCTTGTCGGCCGGCTGGGGCCTGTGGAACTCGGGAGCGACGTTCACTCCGCCCAGGCCGGGCGGAGGAGGGATGGAGGCGGCGGGAGGCATGTGAGGGCTGTGCGTGCCGATGAGCGATGCCACCACGGGGCTGTTCCTCCCCTGGGAGGCAGGCAGGGGTGGGGAGGGCTGGTTGGGCCTGGAGATGGCGGGGTTCAGGAGAGGGAAGGAGAGCGCCCGAGGATCGGCGCTCGGCATGACCATGGGAACGGGGACGGGTCCGATGGGAAAGGGGAGCCGGGGAGTAAGGGAAGGGTTGGGCTGGAATGCCGTCAGCATGAAATCTGTCTGAGGAAGAAAAACAGGGGAAGAAGGAAAGGCTGGTTAGAGTAAGCCCACCTGGAAGCAGAGCCGAGTGCCCTCCTCCCCAGCCAGACAGATGGGATGATGCCACTGGCAGCTGGCAAGGGAAGGAGCCCCTTCCCTTCCTCTCCAGGGACGGCAGTAAAGCCCAGAGAGGCAGGGACTGGGCACAGGGCTCCAGAACACACCATCCCACATGCACAGCACAGCAGGGCTGTGGCCAGGCCAGCGGGGAGGCTGTGCCAGGGCCTGGCCAGCCCCTGCCGTGGGGCTGGAGAGACACTCACTTCTGAGGGCGGAGGCGGCAGCGTCGGCGTCGGGATCTGTGGGAGGCTGCTCAGCTTTGTGCCATTCCTCACCATCTGGATGTGGTCGTTGAACTGATCCTACCAGAGAGGAAAGAAAACAGACACATTCATCACACCTGAGGAAGTCTGGGGCATTCTCAGCCCCAGGCATAGCTGCAGGTCCCAAAGTGGCACTGTTAGGTTCCACAGGAGTCAGGAGACTGAAAAAGGACCCAGAGGGAGAAACTAAGTGCTTCTGCCAATAACCCATCACAGATCGGGTCCACAGGGCTGATCCACACGCATGAGCCTGAGGAGGCAGAAGATCTCTGCAGCTGCCTGCAAAGGCTGACTGACTGTGCCATGTTTTTGGGCACACAGCTTTTTGGGGGCTCGGTCCTCTCCCAGAGAGGGCTGGAGCTAAGCGTGGAGAGCAGTGTGGATGTGAAGAACTGCTCACTGCTAAGCTGGGAGAGTTCAGCAGGGACTTACTCGGACAGTTTCCTTGGTCATTCGTATCCTGTTCAGCCTCATCTCCCACTCCTGCTTTGGCCTCATCGTCTCCAGCGTGGGCGGCGCAGACCTGCAAGCACAACTAAACTTTCCCACTTGCAACTGTGCTCTCACTGACAGCAAAGTGGGAGCAAGTAAACCTCCCCACAAACTCTTCCCTTACCCTCATCCAGCTGGATAGGAAGGGCTCACCCCCAGTGTAAGCAGAGGAAGAGGAGTTGGGATGTAGGGACACCTGAGTTACCCTCCCTGCCGCTCCTGACACTGCATAGACTTACTTGAGGTAGGTGAGGTGCAGCTCTGCTTCTTTCTCTGCTTCTTCTAGTTTCAACACCAGCAGCTCCTTCCGGCTCTCCAGGGACAGGATCTAATGGAGAGAGGCCCCACATGAAGAGCAGTTTCTGTACTGACTCATTTCTTGCTGTCAGACCATAATCTCTCCACAAGACTCATGCTTGGTGCACCAGGCACTGCTCCCCACTAATGTTTACTGCACTGGGACTTGTTTATCCTTCCTCTTGTCCCACAAAGTGGGACTTGGCCTTGTCCTCAACTGCTCCTGATCTGGAACCTCAAACCAAACACTTTGCAGGGAAGGAGTTACCTCTGCTTTCCAGGCCCGTTCTGTCTCCTCAAGAATGTTCCTGTTGATTTCATTGTGCTGGTTCTTCAGCTTGTCCAGCTCCATCTCCCACAGCTGCCTGCAGACAGAACAGGAGTCTCCTCAGGCTCGGGCACCGGAATGGCAGAGAGCAGGAGTGCTGACAGATTCCCACAAAGGGATCGATCCCAGGAGCTCTGGATGGGGTGGAACTGTGGAAGATCAGCAGCTTCCAGACCATGACAGCAGGCACTGTGCACCCTGGGCTGCAGAGGTAACTGTGCCAGGAGCGAGCTGTTCCAGAGCACACAACTGAATAGTGTGCAAACACACTGAGCAAAACGAGAAGGGAGGAATTCCCCTCAGAATAATTCGGTCCAATTTCAGAGCAGGGTGCACAGGTCTGACCCAGGAACCAACCTAAGCAGCACATGGAACTATGCTGTTCAAAGCTGGGCATTTCCACCTGTGCTATGGGAACACCTGGATCTGGAGCTCCTCTGCCCAGCTTTAAATGCCCTAGCATGCCACAGTTTAGTGTGGCTGGGCAGCTGTGGGGAACAGACAGGGAAATCAGTCTGCCCTAATTTTGGGAAGTTAAAATTCAGTCAGAGGTACAGTTACAAGCTGAGTCAATCCACCAAGTACAAACTTTAATCTTATGGGATCTTTATGTATGGATCCAAGTATCCAGGAGCCTGCTTGTGACTGGGATCAAAGAGGATTTAATCCAGAGACCTGATGCTGGAAGAGGAAACACAACCCTTACAGTATGTAACTGGCCAGCACTGCTGGATCGTTCTCTCTACTCTATCACACCAGGAGCATCAGATTCACACCATGGCAAAATGACAGGAAGGAAAAGTGCACTGAGCAGCATTAATCAGGTAATGGATAAGAGCCTTACTTCTCATCAGACTGCTCTGCGATCAGAGAGGCAATCTTGTTTTCCTTCTCCTCCTGCTCCTTCAGCAACCTGCACAGGAGGAACAGGACAGCACAGCTGGAGTCAGGACAGTGTAGGGCCCACGCTCAAACCCCCTCCTGGCACATCCCTGCACACCCTGGGCTGGGACAGCCCTGCTCAGTGTGTGGGAAAACAGCAGCCAACACCCTCTGGAGCACAAATCCTGCAGTGTCATGACACTGCACAAAGGCTGTGGCACAGAACCAGGCTCAGCCAGGGAGCTGTGCCCCTCCAGCAGCACGTGCCCTGCAGTGTCCACTCAGGGGAGAAAGGGGCTGAGCACTTGGAGCCATCACTGAAGGAGCTTTACCCAAACCCCGTACTGAGCCCTCAGAATAAAAGAAATCAACCTCTACGACGTGACAGATTAAAAGTGCAAATTCACATATAGAACTGTCCTAAATACTCCTTGCTTCCAAAGAGTTTAAAGCTCTTTGCTCCATCAGGGTTAAGCAAGACCTTTTCCCCTCAGAAATAAACACTTTTTTTCCATACAAATACCTTCTCCCTTTCTCACAGAGTTTCTCAATTTCAGCTTTCAGATCCTGCTCTTTCTGCAGGAATTCTTTCTTTTCTTTCTCCATCTTCTTCTTTGTCTCTTCTCGCTTGATCGTAACGTCCTGAATTGCTTTCAGGATCTCCTGGAGTAAAAAGCATCATGCAAATACACAGCAAAACTTCAAAGTAATGGCTTTGATTTAAAATCCATTATTATTTTAAATTGATTGATTAATGAGATTACACAGCCAACTCTTTCTTTTTAGCAGATCCAGTCAAGATATATATTGGTTATTATGAGGAAACTCAGGAGACAGACACTCTGGACCACAAGTTCTCTACCTCTTCATAAGGATTTTAAAATTAACTAAAGGGCGGGTTAAACAAAAACAGGACTTCACCAGGTACCTGGTGGTTCTTCATCTCCTCCTCCCTCCGCTGCTGGAGCTGCTTGAGCTGGACCTGCAGCTGATTCTCCACCTGCCTCTGTTTGTCCAGCACCTCCTGGTAGCGCTCCTTCAGCAACGCCCGCTCGGACATCATCTTGTCCTGCAGTGGAGACAGAAGTTTAGGGAGAACCTTCCCCTTCCCTCATGCTAAAGAGACGCAGGAAAGCTCAGCACTGTGTAAGAGCCCTGATAAGAACCACAGATAGGTCATTTCCATTTTCACAGCTCAGGCTCTCTAGACTGGAAAAGACAAAGGGATACACTGCTCGAAGCTGCAGCTGGTGTGGCATTTTCTCCTCTAACAAGGACAGCTTAAGGACTCCAAGGCTGGTATTTTGATGATCTTGGAAGTCTTTTCCAACCTTAATGATTCTTTTTTGGCAAGCAAAACGTGGGAAGAGCAGCTTCAGCTCCTTTGCCCGGGAGCAGCAGCCTGGGAGCCTGAGCAGCTGAGCCTGGACCTGGTACCCACCAAGTTCTTCTCGATATCCTGATCCGTGTTCACGTCAGCATCGGCCGCCTTGAAGTCGGTCTGTGAAGGGAGATGGTTGCAGTCAGACCCTCACCCCAGAGAAGTTCCAGAGCTGGCCAGATGATCAACCAGCCCTGGAGAAACACCAGTGGCAGGAGAATGACCTGCCCTGGATTCTGACCGGCCACTTAAGCAATGCTTTATTTCATTCTTTTCACAGAGCCACAGAATAACTGGGGTTGGAAGGGACCTCTGCAGGTCGTCTGGTTTGACCCCTCTGCCAAGGTAGGGTCACCCAGAGTACATGACACAGGAACACATCCAGGTGGGTTTGGAATGTCTCCACACCCTCCCTGGGCAGCTATTCCAGTGCTCTGCCACCCTTCATGGAAAGAAGTTCTTCCTCAAGCTGAGGTGAAACTTCTTATGTTTTGGTTTATGGCCATTGCTCCTCGTCCTGTTGTTGGGCACCACCAAAAGAGTCTGGCACCATCCTCTTGGCACCCACCTTTGAGATATTTATATGCATTAATGAGATTCCCTCTCAGGCTTCTCTTCTCTGGACTAACCAAACCAAGCTCCCACAGTCTCTCCCCATCAGAGAGATGCTCCAGACTCCTAATTATCTTTGTGGCCCCGGCTGAACCCTCTCCAGTAGCTCCTTGTCTTTCTTGCACTTGGGAACTCAGAACTGGACACAGAACTCCAGATGCGACCTCAATGGGGCCAAATTTTAATTTAAAGATTAATTAAAGACCCTTCGAACCGCAGGGCCACAGTCACAGCAGCAGCTGTAAGGCTGCAGGTATGGATGTGTTTTACCCTCCAGCCTCCACTTACCCAGTTCTTTGCCCTCCAGGCTCCCGAAACGGCCTTTCAGGGACCTCTCCCCGCACACCACCAACCCGAACATCCCCGAGGGACCCGCACCCACCTGCACCGCGATGTTCTGCGACGGCCGCGCCGGGGCCGCCTCCTCCTCGTCGGGCTCCTCGGCCGCCGCTCCGCTCTGCCCCGCGGCCTCCGCGCCGCCGGCCCCGGGCTCCGCATCGCCGCCGGGGGGAACGGCGGGGGCGGCCGCGGGGTCCGGCTCCGCGCCGGGGCCGGGCTCGCCGGGGCTCTCCGGGGCGGAGAGCGGGGTCCCGCTGCGCGGAACGAGCACATCGGTCACCGCCTGCAGCCGCGCTCCGTCCCCGCTCCATCCCCGCTCCGTCCCCGCTCCGTCCCCGCTCCATCCCCGCTCCCGGCCCCCCCGTTACCTGCCGGGCGGCGCGGCGGGGCCGGGCTCGCAGAGGCGCGGCGGGTCGGGGCCGTCGCCCTGCGCCTGCTCCAGCGCCATGGACGGGGGCGGCCGCGGGGCTGGGGCGGGAGCCGAGCCCGGGCCGGCGCGGCGGCACCGGGGGCGGGAGGGGGCACCGGGCGGAGCGCTCGACCCGCGGCCCCGCCGCGCCGCCCCTTCCTGCCCGCGCCCCGGCGGATGTGACGCCGCTGTCAGCGGAGCGGGGGTTCCGGCGGCGGCGGCTCCTCATGCCCGGTGAGAGCCCCGGGGGCGCGGCGGGGCACGGCGGGGCAGGGGGACGGGGGGTCCCGGCGCCGCTGCCCCTGCCGCCCGCGGCGGGATGGAGGGCGGGAGCCGCGGGGATGTCCTGCCCCTCCGTGACCTCCGCCGTGTCCCCGGTGCGGCTGCGGGGCGCGCAGGTGCCGCTCCTGCGGGGTCGCGTAAAGCCCTTCTTCTAGGGAGGGAAGGCTGAGCATCGGTGTCCAGCACGGGGCGAGTGGTACCAGAGGCTCGGGGCAGGACCGAGGGCCGGGGGGTGCCGAGCTCCGGGCACTTCCATGGGTGCGGGATCTCCGCAGGGGTTTTCCCCTCCGTGCGCTGCCGCGGTCCGTGGGACAGGGGTTCAGCCGGGGCTCGGCGGTGATTTCGCCCCGTGCCGGCTGAGAGCAGGTCCCTCCGGCCGCGGAGCAGGTTCCTCCTCCCCCGCGGAGTTCAGATGGGGTCCCCGCAGAAGAGGAACGGGCTCTGAGCTGCCCACGGAGCGTGGCGCTGCCCGTGGTGGTTGTTCCTGGGCATCTGCGCTTCAGGAGTTCCTTGGCAGTTTCCCGCGGTGCCACGGCGAGAGGAGGAAGCGTCTCCTTCTGCCAGCCCGGGGCTGCACCCCCGGCGGGCAGGGCAGGGTTGGGATCGATCCCTGCCCAGCCTGGGTGTGCCTCCTGTGCTGCACCGCTGGGAAAGAGCCGCCTCGGCTGGAGTTTCCCTGGAACGGGTTGGTGGAAAGCGCAGGTGTGCCAGTGTTGCCTTCCAAGAGCGGGGGGCTCTGTGGGACCTTCAGGTGTGGCCACCCCGTTCCTCATCCAAGGACACTCTCACCAGCTTCCTTTCTGCCATTCCAGCCCGCCTGTCTGATGCCGCATTGGAGGCCGGGAGTGCCGCTATGGAGCGCAGGGATGGAGGCCACGCTCTGCATCCACACGTGCCTTTGGCTGAGCGCCGCCTGGATCCCGCTCGCCTCGCTGACCGGAGGGGCCTGCGGCAGGCAGAGCTCCCCGGACACTGAGGGCCACCACGGCAAGCTGACGTGGGCTGTCAGCCTGGATGCACCCGAGGAGGAGCTGGAGCAGCGGGCAGAGGAGCTGGCCCAGACTGCGGGGCTGGTGAACATGGGCCGTGTCGGGGAGCTCAAGGGCCATTACCTCCTGGCCTACCAGCCCGAAGGCCGCGTGGGGAGCGAGCCCGAGGCAGTACGGAGGTCGGTGGACACTTTGTTTGCACAGCACGACAGCGTGCGGTGGCACTCGGAACAGAAGCTTCTGAAGCGCTCCAAGCGCAGCCTGCACTTTAACGATCCCAAATACCCCCAGCAGTGGCATCTGGTGAGTGGTTTTCCGGCTCCTGCTGTGCTCACAGGAGCTGTTTGTATGGCCACGAGGGAGCTGTCACATGGGAGGCAAAACAGCCTCTTTCTCTTCTCTGGTGAGGAGGGAGCACAGTGAGAGCTCACCCTGCCTGTTGTGTGCTCACCCTGAGAACAGGAGGAGGCAGCTGCCATGGCTGGTTGTGCACTCATGGCACTGGGGTGGGCAGAGAGGTTTGGCTGGAGCACACTGCACACTCCTCTTCATGGCTTGTGTTCCTCGCTGTCCACCTCAAACAGTCTCCTCGGCTGTCCTGTGACTCTTTCCTGTGCTGGCCCCGGCCCCACACATACCCAGTGCACCCCTCACCACTGACCCTGTCCCCTCGCTGTCGTTTCTGGTGCTTAGAACAACCGCAAGAGCCCCGGGAAGGACATCAACGTCACGGGCGTGTGGGAGCGGAACGTGACGGGGCGCGGCGTGACGGTGGTGGTGGTGGACGACGGCGTGGAGCACACCATCAAGGACATACAGCCAAACTACGTGAGTCCTGCTCCGACTGGGAGGGCAAAGGGCAGGCTGGAGGCGGGGCAGTGTGACTTGAGCCTGTGAGACCCTGTGCTCAGCCAGGGCGGGAATTGCCGGCAGCAAACCTTTCCTGGGAGATTTCACGCCCAGGTTTCAGGGTTACCTGCCTTTGTGCTGCAGCTGCAGCTGGTCTCCCTCTGCCCTGCAGCAGTGGCTGAAGCTGCCTCGGTCGGTCCCTTCCCCACGGCAGCAGATAGCAGTGTTGAGCTGCAGCCCCGTGTGGAAGCAGCCTGGGAGTTCCCGTGACTCTCCCATGCTGTGCTTCAGCCCTTGTAGTGTGCTCTTAACTCCTGCTTTTCCCAAACCGAGGAGAGAGCCCCGAGTCATGACCGTGGGTCCGTTTTCAGAGCCCAGAAGGCAGCTATGACTTGAATTCCAACGACCCCGACCCTATGCCTCACCCCGACGAGGAGAACGGGAACCACCACGGGACCCGCTGCGCCGGGGAGATCGCGGCTGTGCCAAACAACAGCTTCTGCACGGTGGGAGTTGCCTACGGGAGCCGCATCGCAGGTACCTGCAGGCTGTGGCACCCCGAGGGGCCTGGCATGTCTCACCTCCGGCTCTGGGGGCCAGGATGGCTCTGTGGGCTGGAGCAGCTCTGAGTCAGCGGCGCCTTGCTCGGGCTGGTTGGGGCTGTCGCAGGGAGGGCCCAGTGCCTGCCTGAGCTCCTCTCCAGAGGATACAGCTCCTGGCAGAGCAGGATAGGTGTAGGTGGGTGTGGCAGCTTTTCCAGTGTTCCTGGAGTGCTCCTGGTCTGCCCATGTGCAGAGCTGTTGGCAGAGCAGCCGTACCACGCAGGCTGAGACAGGCAGTCGTGCCACAGCGTGCCTGCTGTGGTGTGGGCTGGAGGCACCGGGAAAGCCAACCTTGGCCGGCCCCCCGTGCTCCCCTGGCCCTGGTCTTGGCTCTGCCCCATGGGGTTGGACAGGAGTGAAGGGCCAGCGCTGCTTCTCCTCTGCAGGGCCAGAGAATGTGTGCTGTGCCCTTGGCTGTCTCCAAACTCCTGTGCTCCTTCAGAGAGGAAGGGGAGGTCTCTGTGCCAGGCAGGGTGTGTCCCTGGCAGGGCAGGGACAGTGATGCTGGGATGTGGTTCTGTCCATACCTGGTTACACCATGGTCCCTGAGGGGACAACAGGGTGCTGGGGGTCAGGGCTCACCCAAGGGCACTCTGCACCCCTGCCTGAGCTCCCTCCCTCCCTGAGCACCCACCCTGATGGTGGCACAGCAGGGTCCCAGAGCTCCAGCTGGCAGAAGCAGAGATGAGCTGATCATGTAAGCCCAGCACAAGGAGCAGGGAGGGTTTACCTAGCTCTGCTTCAGGCCTCAGCCCTCCAAAGCTGGACCAGCCTTGCAGGGGCAGCCTTGAGCCAGGAGTTTGTTTGCAGTTTATACAGCTCACTGACCCACGTGGGTCATGTTCCTTGTCCTTTGTCCCGCAGGCATCCGAGTGCTGGATGGGCCCCTCACGGACAGCATGGAGGCCATCGCCTTCAACAAGCACTATCAGATCAACGACATCTACAGCTGCAGGTGAGCCCCAAGGACACCCTGAGCTGGCACCCAGCAGACCCATGTGGGCCCTGCTCTGCCTGGGGGCAGAGTCACAGCTCGTGGCTGAGCATTCACACCAGCTCCCATCCTCCTGTGGCTCCAGATAGCACTGAAATCCTGTTCCTGGAGAGCTGGCCTGGGCTCTGCACAGCACCTGCAGTTGTGAGATCTTCTGTGTGCTGCTGCAGCACGTCCCGTGGGCTGCCTGAGCTGGAGGGGACACTGTGGCCCCCACTGTGGTCAGGCTGAGCTGTGTGACGGGGACTGGAATGTGTTGTTAAACAGAAATCAAACATTTTGTCCCCTGGAATCTGACCCAGGGGCACAGTGCAAACACGACAGCGAAATCCCAGCAGCGAGGGGCCATGCTGATGGATGGGAAAGCACAGTGCTCCCTGATCCCAGTCGTGGTACTGGGAGCAGCTGCTGGCTGCCAGTAGCTCTCTGTAATGGTGGGAAGAGTTGCTGCCTGTGACTCCTGGGGCTGTCACTTCACAGTGTCTCTCTTTCCAGCTGGGGTCCCGACGACGACGGGAAAACCGTGGATGGCCCCCATCAACTGGGAAAGGTAAAGAGCAGCCCCAGCAGCACAGGTAGCTCTGGGAGGGCCCTCCAGGGCTTGTGGTTTCTTGCCTGCCCAGGCAGGCATGCAGGGATGTTGCTGTGACACTGTGCACGTCTGTTTGTGTCCCTGGCTGCCAGCAGAGGTGTTCCCTGTCACTGTGTGGTCAGGAGAGGTGACGCAGTGGCGTTCAGGAGTGTGGGATGAGCTTTCTAAGGAGAGACCTGTCCCAGCAGGAAAATGCTCTTTCACAACTTGTGGTATTATTGTGACAACTTTTGCAACCCACGGGACGCTCTCTGCTCAGGACACCGAGCATTCCCAGGGTGGTTCTCGAGGCCTTTGGATGCTGGGAGCAAGTAAGGGGAGTGGGATTGCAGTGGAAGGAAGAGTCAGAGCTGAGGCTGCTCCTTCCCAGACCACTGAGGCTCTCTCACAGCTGCTGTGCTGCGAAGTGCACCTGGTCTACCTATGCCACAGTGAGGGGTCACTGAGGGGGCCCCAAAACCAGCACTGGGGTGTGGTTCTGCTCCATTGCTCTTCTGCTGTGCTTTTCCAACCACAATCCAGCAGTTACTGCACTGTTTGGAACAGCCCTGACAACCGAGCTGTCCATGCACCATAACAAATGGTTTCCAGTTCTGCAAGTTAATGTATTCTCTTCCTGCATGCAGAGACAGCTGGAACAAGCTCTGGGACACAGAGCAGAGCTCTCTGTGCCACAGCAGAGCTGGGAGGGCAGAGTGTACCTTCATCTGCCAGAGGGAGGGAGAGCAGGGGGGTTCACTTCCAGTGGG